TATTATTTATACTGAAAATATGTCAACTGTGTCTTAAGTGACACAATGCTACTAAACAAAAACAAAAACAAAAACAGTATCTCCTGAAACATGAACTAGACTAACACAAGATTAAAGAATGAGCTACAGAACAAAAAGTTCGCAGATTACATCATTCCTAAATGATTCCTAACAAATTAGGGCACATTTTATATCAAAGAGCACAGATTTTCTAGTGTATTGTGTGGGACCTTAACTACCTATTCTGACTTCATATCTGTAAAGAGACAACTGGCAAACTGTAGTTGAAAAAGTGACAAGTACTAAATGCTGTTTAAAGTGGGGGCTGAAAAGATGGCTCTTCTTTGGTTGGCTTTCAGAAAGCTACTGCAACGTTTCCCTGTCATACAAAGGCTGTCTTTTCCCTCATCCCTTGCCCTTCCCTTCAAAATGATCACAGAAATTGAGAGTGACGTACAGACTGTTGTGCTGAGCCAGTATGAGCAGAATATTGCTTGTACTTGGCTGATTCCCCCAAAACCAGGTAGGATAAGCTGCAAGTACCTTGCAATAGTAATAGGCAAACTCGCTGCCTGCCAGAACCAGACTAATCAATTTAAGCTATTTTTTTCCCCCATGAAAAACAGAAAGCATTCATAAAACTGTATTTATGAATTATTATTCAAGTTCCTACAGCTGGCAAAATAAGAAATACTAATAGACATGCTGCTTTTAATACTTAAGTGTATTTTATAACAAAGAAACAACAATGTTTAAGATTATAGAAGGTTTGTTCAGCCTGGAGAAAAGGAGGCTCAGGGGCGACCTTATCGCTCTTTGTAAGTACATTAAAGGAGGCTGTAGATGGTCGGGGGTTGGTCTATTCTCCCATGTGCCTGGTGACAGGACGAGGGGGAATGGGCTAAAGTTGCGCCAGGGGATGTTTTAGGTTGGCTATTAGGAAGAACTTCTTTACTGAAAGAGTTGTTAGGCACTGGAACAGGCTGCCCAGGGAAGTGGTAGAGACACCATCCCTGGAGATCTTTAAAAGATGTTTAGATGTTGAACTTAGCGATATGGTTTAGTGGGGCACTTGTTAGTATTAGGTCAGAGAGGTTGGACTTGATCTTGAGGTCTCTTCCAACCTAGACAATTCTGTGATTCTGTGAATATTTCCTCAGCTGTTGTAAATGAACATTGTCTCCATCTACCTCAAACACTCCTCTGAGTAACAAGCAATTAACTCTGATCACTTTTAGTGCTGATAGGCATCAGAATGATTGGGATCTACCTTTCTTAGTCAAAATAAAAGAGTAAGCTGGGAAAGAAAGTGTGCTATTCTAGTTCAGTCCAAAGAAGATGCTATACAATAAGCGACAGGTAATATTCAAAGACTTGTTGATATTTCTGTTTTGATTTCCAATTATTCCTACACTATGAAAGAGAATGGAAGCTGCTTTCATAAAATGCATACAATGGACTCCAAAACAAAATAAAACAGAACCTGTAATGCTTGCATGATGAACATGCACAACCTTATGAAAACTCATAAATTCTCAAACATGGCCAGAAGTGCTCATGCCTTTACTCTCACTTGGTTATCACAGAGCTCTTACAGACAATGGTTCTGCTCTGCACAATCTTCTTCCAACATGAAAGGAATTCCAATCTGAGCTGTCAGACCACAAAAGCCAAGGCACTGGCATGGTTCTGCCACAGGCAGTAGCGGAGAACATCTGCATATCCTGGAGACATTGGGGCATCAGTAGCACAAAACTTTATGTGTTGGTGAACACAGAGGGACTGGGGGATGAACACAGCAAAAAAAAAGATTGTGAGGCCCGCAGACAGCATGGATGAACATGTATTTCTACACAGGGACCATATAACAGACTTAAAAACTGTACCACCAGTGGCCTTTTTTAAATATATATATTAGCCCTACTTTGGAAGGAAAGAGCCTAAAACGTATATATTAAGCACTCATCAGAATAAGCTTCCACATAAATGAAAACAGGCTCTAAATATTCATCATATGTCTAAATTCCATTAAGAAATATCTAGACCACTGCAGAGGTATTGGGGACCGAGACTTTGGCCATAAAAATGCACTTAGATATGGTTTATATGACCATTGCAGGATGCATAGCCCAGGGTAGTTCTAAACGACAGATTCAAAAATCTAGTATTAGAAGCCTAAATACTTCATTGATCTGGACACTTGTTAAAAATGTTTACTCAGGCTGCAGATGCCTAGAGAGACCACATGCTGTAGGAAGACATTATTTATGCATGGGGTGTCTATACCATCTAGAAATTTATGTAGATCTTTGTTAAATTAAATACTGAAAGCCAAAATGCAAGCCTTCAAAAACAAATTCTAATGAATGTCATACATATGCTTAAAGCCTCACTTTTATGAAAGTGAAAGAGTCTATCAGATAGCAAGAGGAAAATAGACTGAATTATAAACATAAATCAGTTTCCTCTCATAATGAGTGTCCTTTGAAGCTTTCAGAGGAACATACTCCCCTGATATGCTGTTTCAACATCGTTTCAAAAAAAACCCCTTTCTACATCATGCCATATTGTTTCCTAACTAAATAGTTAAAGGACATCATTTGCCGGAGTGAATTAACATATTTGGCAAGTGAGTAATTCGATGGGGAATCACAGATATGTGTTCTCACATAAAGTGATAAAATGAAGGACTAAGGACAACCCTTGTAATGGAAGCAATTTTTGGAATATTGGTTAACTAGCACAAACAATATTAACTCCAGGGAAAGTGCTTCCCTAATGAAAGAGCTCACATAACAATTGCTTACAGGGTCAAATCCATAATTATTTTTTGCTGAGAATGTTGTTTCCTAGATTAAAGACATCTTAGTTGGAAGCCTTAATAAAAACTATTTGCATATATATGGTTTTATTTATTTTCACAAACATTTATTTTTCTAGTGATATTAGATGTTCATATGATCCAGGTTCCTGGAGTCCAAGCACAGAGAAAGCAATTGCTATTTTATGAAGACCATAGTGCCCTTAGATTATAATTTGAATTGCTAAGTAGTTCTTTGCTCATTTTTTTAAAACATAGAATAGTTTTCAAAGTTCTGTGTTTTAAAGACATTTTTACCTTATTAGCCTCTGGTGAGCAGCTTCATTGTTATTTCTTTTTTAAATCAGATTAGGGGGATAAATGTTGATATACATTATAACCATTAGGATCCTACTTTATAATGAAGTAATATGCTTTTTAAATTTGATATCCTTGCCTTAGATTAAAGTCAGTATGGCTGCATTTTGTTATCACTATGTCAAAAGCAGCATTGCCCAACTGTAGCAGATATGGGTAGACCTCTAACCAAGTGTCATGATATAGTCCTATGGCTGATCCTATAATTACTGCAGGTGTAACACATGGTAGGGATAAGAGGATGGCAAGAGTTGGTTCTTTGTAACTGGCAAACTGGAGCTGGAAATATTTCCCGTTTTTGGTCCTCATGTATGCAACCTACTGGTCACTGGCTGAAAGACCTCATTACTAATAAAGGAAACCTTGGTTACTAGTAAAGGAAACATTTACAATTTGCTATGTTCTCATTAGCAGTAAGTGCCTGTCCCCATATTTTGCTCCCGCTGTGAGTTCCTTCAGAAGATGTGAAGAGGAGAAGCAGAGGAGAAAGACTACATTTGGAAAAGGGATGAAACCACAAAAAGCACTTATATTGGACATGAAAATGTGAAAAAATTCCCCTACCACATTGCTCTTGTGCTCTTTCAATCAGTTATTTACGTACAGCCCTCACCTGAAACACTGAATTACCTGCCACAGCCCAAGTGATGACAACCCTAAACTTGGTAGACTGTTACACTTTAACGTATGTCATTTGCCATAGATCTGCATCATCTGTTTTTGGCATCTTTATCCTTAGTATCTAAGTACCACTGCCCTTTCCTGCTTCACACCAATGAAAGTCAACATTCCCTGTTCCCAAGCGTGATGACATTCAAGCAAATCACTAAATCTTTAACAGTCTTCTGGAATAACTGCTTTCACGAAGTGCTCAGAAATTGCCTGCACTGGCATATCCCAGCATACTAGAACTGAACAAAATGCCCTTCTGTATGCAAATGCAAAACTGTGAGCAGTCCTGTAGGGAGGTGGAAAAGGAAAAAGACAGGAGGACAATGAGCTCAAACTCACCCAAGTGCCAGTCTCAGTCTTAGTACTTCAGATCCTGAGCTACTGACAGGAGCCACTGCCAGTGCTGGGTGGCACTGCCCAGGAGAAGTCTTGTACAGAAGCCTCTCTAAATCCTCCACCATCGCCATTTCAGACAGAAATGACAGAAAATCTAAGCAATTTGAGAAAAGGCCACAGACTGAACTTCCTCGTAAGTGCTGTTATTTCAGCATTTGTACCAATAGATGAGATCTGACCTCAACATATCTCTCCTGAAACTAAGGTGCATTGCATTGCTTTAACTTCTGAAGAAACCAGCTATGTGCACACACACATTGAGGAAGACCCATAAGACTAAATAAGACATAGAAGAAGGAAGACAATAGAGTTTATTTATTTTTTTTTCTTTCCATGAATTATCAAAATAAATAACTCATTACACTGAAAATGGTTTTACTCACAAATGCTGGGTAAATTGTTATTTTTCCTAGTCTTAAGAATATCTCCAGGAAATATTTTATACTGGGCCAGAGGTAGACCAAATATAAACAAACGTAGTGAAATTGTTCAACATGTACCAAAATAAACACTTGATGCAATGTCTTCTGTATTTTTAGAAAACACTTTTTTAAAAATAAGTTTATTGAAATAATTAAAACAATTTGAAGTACGTAGTCTAAACAAGTTTCTGCAATAAGCACAATTATATCTAACAGCACAAGAATACACAGTAAGACATAAATAAGCTTATTTGAATAAGCTTATAATTATTTCATAATATTAATCTACAACATCTTTCAGATACTACTTTCTGTCAATATTCAAAACTTACCATATTGATTGGGTCAACTGGGCCAATGCTGTTAACATAGACATCTGTCTCAATTACCGTAGTTCTCACTAAACAAAATAGTAACAATAGTAATTACATATTTAATTAATTCTTTACACTGTTAATGTATTTCAATGTATGTATTAAAACACCAATATTCATTTATTAAACTCAGAAAAAGTAAATCTCGTTTTGTTCATTCTGTGAAGAATCATATATGATTTGACTCCCTTATTCCATGTGAATTAAGTTAGAATTATCAAGATGATTTTTTTAATTCTTAATACAACCACCATCTGTCATGTTAACAGGTACAAGATAGATATAAAAAAGTATAAAAGGTAAGGGGGGTGCAGATGGATAACATTCTTCCAACATTAAAAATTAATCATAAACAGAAACAAATGTTTAGAAAAAAAAAATGATAGCAGAGCAAACCATAAGGTCTTGGAGCAGGTGTGTTTATCAACTACAAGAAATCAATATACAGCACCTCTGTCAATTCCTACTGAAGATGTCTGACAAAAATAAAATAACTTATTACATATTTCTTCAATTCATGCAATAATAGAACACCAAAGGATTATTAATATCTTTTCATCAACTTGATCAATATACTGCTCCACACACCAAATTGAAAGTTCATTAAGAGAAAGTCATTTAAAAGTTAAACATTTTCAAACTTACTTTTCTTAAGAAAGCCAGTAAAACTACTCTCACTGGGCTGACAATATTAACTGTTTTAGAAATATATTCTCATAATGTATTTACAGAAAGACAAAAACTCTAAGCAACTTCCAAAGAAAGTCATGTCTGATGTACCTGTCATTGATAAATCAGTTCCAACCTCATAACTGTTTTTTGGGGAAAAGGTACAAATGGTCAGGGTGTGGTGCCGGAGAGAATTGCGATTAAACATCAATTCACCAAGCATTTTTTCCAGCTTGTACTGGAGAGTGAATGACAAAGAGTATGGACACAAGATATATGTCCTAGTCCCTTAATTACAAAGTTCTGCTGCTCTTTCTCCCATGATCTGACACATTAAAGTGAAGCACCTCTGCTCATTTGTAGATGGAAAAGGAGGAAGGTACAGGAAAAATGTACTTTGATTTCATAGAAGAGGAGTGCTACGTCATCAGATTTGATTTCTTTATACTGCAAACAATCAGAGATCTCCTAAGTGCTCTATAACAAATGTAAAACCTTAATTAATACAGGATTTTTCAAACTTAAAACTAAAAAAAATCTAAAAATCAAAAACTCAGACAGGCACACAGAAAGAAAAAGGGCATCCCTCCTGTCAGCTATGACAACAGGCAAGATACATTTCCTAAATATCCAAAGATACCTTTTCCCTGCTAGTCTCACTTGGCAGGAAATTCTCCCTGATCCCAAATCTGACTACCCATTGCCCTGAACCTGAGACCAAGACACCCTAGTCAGGCTGCACAAAGAATTTTCTGTATGACCACAGAGCACTAAATCCTTTGATCATCCTGCTGTCCCGAGCGCGATTCACAGAATGTTTAAATGGACCCTTGGAAACTAGTATGCACAGATGGAAATATCAGAGGAAGAAAAAATAATAATAATAAATAAATAAATAAATTTGTGTGTATATATACACATGTTGCCTCTGTAATGTTACATGTATTTTTACACATGCCACGTCTCATAAATACATATGTACTCCCTTTGATTTTGAAAGCCTGTTTATCTATATAACAAACCCCTCATTTTAACTACTGCCAGACTAGAACATAAGGAGCTGGATCAAAGTATATCTTGCTTCATTGGTCAAGAAATGCGGGATCCTGTCCTTTTTGCCCTGTAATTGTAGGAAATATTTAATTCTTCCTATTAATAGGAAATTTTGCTTTATTCTGAAGTTCAGTTCTTTAATTCCAACTTTGGCAATTCCTAGCCATATGTCAAACTTCTTCACACACAAACACAAGGATTAAAGTCACCTCAGACTTCCGTAACCTGAGCAGTTCATGCCACATACTGCAAATGCTAGTCATGGATAATCTGTTCAGCTTTAACTTCTAAACTTGTTCTATTGTTTCCAGACCCATCTTGAGTTGTGAACACCAAGAGTGGAATTTTTTTGTAATGGTGTTATCAGTGCTGCATGAATACTTCCAGTTTTCTACTCATAGCGTCTCTTTTCAAAGGGGACTTACTCTTCTGGGTGATGCATACCTAAGAACTCATACTACACAAAATAACCAAGTTTTGCCCTAAATCATTGCTCTTCAGTGCAGCTCTCACCTTGAATTATAACCCACAGACTTTTTTTTTTCTTTTTTCTTTATTTTAACAATTATATTTTGTTTGTCTCTGAATTTACTGAAGGACGGAATTATTCTGCACATAAAGTCTCCAACAATCTGTGTATCATTTGCCTACTTAAAAAAAAGTAAATTTGCTGAAATCTTTTAAAACAGCACTACTCTTGATCAAGACTTTCCTGTGAGACAACCCTACCTCTGATATTTCCTTATTAATAACTGAATTTTGAGATCTGTCAGTAAGCCAGTTTTTAATGTGGGTTGTGTGAATTTTATGAAATTCCAGCTTGCAGAAAGCAGTACTTGATCTGCCACAAGGGTTCTCTTGTAATGTGCCACAGGGTTCAGTTGCCTTTTCCATACTGCTCTGAGTAAGATTATTAGACCTATTAAGACCCAGTGAAGAGTCTGAAAATCTGCCTCTGTTGAAATTATTTTAATTGACCCAAATGAAGAAGAAGAAATATATCTGATGCAATATCATTAAAAGGGGCTGTTTTTTCTTAGTTCTTCTGTATAGAACAGATCCCAGTGTTTCTGTGAATTAGAAGAAAGAATTCATTCTACTCATGTTCATAAACTAGAACTGATATGAGCCCACTAAAATGACAAAAGCTGGAGGAAAATACATTATTTATACTAATTTAACATCCATATAATTACTTTGTTCAACTGCTCTCCACAAAGAGCTAAATGTGAAACGTGGTTTGGGAAGATATTTCTACAATGAACACTTCTTATTTTATTTACAAAATTTAGTAACAGCCTTGAAAACATTATGAGTAGGAAGAAAGCTGTTTAACACATCCTGAGTGAAGTGCAAAACAGTATTATAGACTTACAGAAACTTCTAAAGAGTGAAAAGAGAGCACGAAAGAGGTTAGAGTAAAGCAAGAATGCAAGAGGACAGTAGACTGCATATTAAACAGGGAGAGCAAAGAACACCAAGAAGCAGCTGCCCCCAAGAGAGAATTCATCAGGTCTCAAATTAGCTGTAGCATGCAAGAGACAGAGGGAACCCATTCGCTAAGCCTTATCTGGAGAGATGCACTCACACTTCCTGATTTCCTGCTTTTCTACCTTTTCTTTACTAGACTAAATTTCTGTTATTTAGAAAGTTTGACTGGCACTGAGCATCATTTGATACAAACATGTAGCTAAGGACAGGCTTGTCCCAGAAAAGAAATAAGTGACTTGTGCTTAAAATTCAAGAGTGAGAAAGAATTTCCCAGCAAGCAACAAGTCTTTCTTTTGCAGATACGAACCAGTGCTCCACTAGCAAGGGATGATGCTGGATAATCCCCAGGAATATTCTGAACTCAAGTTTGGGTTCAAAAATCTGTAGATTGATAAACTAATATTAATTATTTTAGTATCCATTAGTTGTGAAAGGTGGAATAATGAGCAGCTAGAATACTTGCCTTTTACAAAGTTGAAAAATAATAAATAATTTGATCTAGTACTGGAGCTAAAACAGTGTGGTTATAAGTAGCCAAAACATACGGGAGAATATTTTTTCATTAATACATCAACACTCCAAGATCGTATCTGTAATTATAGGAATTTATACTACAGATAAGAGATCCCAGGTGGTAACCGCTACTATTTCATACTGAGAAGAAGTACTTTAATAATATGTTTATGCTCCAAACATCTAAAAGTATGTTATATGTGAGTTAAAGACTAATATGCTTAATAAACATATTAAAGGTTAGCAATTTAGAAATTAGTACAACTCACGGATACTTGTGTGAGACACACCAAAAATGACAGAATGTGGTTTTCTGCTATTAAATTTCAGTATTACCATTAACTTTTCCACTTTCATTTGGCTCTCCTTTATCATCTTCCTCTGCGTATTTAACAATGAAACCTCTTATCTCACTCTGAGATGCTGAAATTCTGTGTCAACGTCAGGAAGAAAAAAAATCTGCTCTGCTATTTAAATTCAAAAATTGCAGGCCTCAAAAAAATAATGATAAAAAAAAGAAAGTGTTTTTAACTGAGCATTGTAATTCAATAGTAAAGATTTTATGCGGGAGATTATTACCTTGAAAGATAATTATAATTCCAGTCAATAACTTTGCTGTAAAAGTACTGACATATACTCTGAAGATGTGGAATCTGACACTAGATTTCATCCATATAATTGAAGCAGACTAAGATGAATGAACCATAGGCTGATTTTGTTTTTCTCTCTGATAAATCATCTACTGCATTTCTCAAGCATCTGGACAGAATATGATGCCTGTATTTGAAGCTGGAAATTTCATCTTACATTCTCCAAAATTTCTGCCCTGTGGCAGAACTCTGCAATTTCTCCTCCATCTAGAATGATCAGCCTTAATACTTGTTCCCCTAACAACAATGTGAATACCCCAGAATGTCTCCTGTTCTCATCACTGGCTAATGTTCACCAGCCTTTTAATATATGGGTAGACGTAAGTCCCAGATAGCAAAGGTCAAATTACTATAAAAGTGTATCATCAAGAAAGTAAAGAAGAAAAAGAAAGGGAGCGTTTATATGAGAGAAGGTAGAAGTTAGGAGGTGTTTTCTTTTGGAAACTAGTATTTGAAATCCAGAAAGTTACACATAGAGTAGCTCACAGAAAGTCAGAGTTTTTGCTCTGCCAAGACCAGTGAATAACCAGTGGGATATGTCAGAATAATTTTCTCTTTCTCTATTTTCCCTTTCTTTTTTACAAAATATTAAGGGGAGAGAAGAGAAACAGAATTCTGTTTTCTTTCATCTACACCTTCCATTTGAAGGATTTTTTGTGGAGATAGATTACTCCCTTATAATTCTCTTGCATCGAGCAGTCTGAAAAAACAGGAATGCTATACATCTGCCACACATTGAGAATTTAAAGAAAAATAAGCTGGAAGAGTTTTTTGTTGTCTAAATCTTCACAGTAGTTCAATTATATAAAGGTGAAGGGAAGGACTTAGAGCAAACTTCATGAGATTCCCTGTTATGACAAACAGAAAAATTGCCATTCATTGTCTTCAATGAAACAGTCAGCAACAAAACAGAACTAAGAAATTTAGGGAAAAAAAAAAAAGATTGTCAGAAACAAGAAAAGAAAACAAACAGTCTGGGATTGCATCTCTCTGATCTCCTACATAAATGAAGTAAGTCTAGATTGTACAATTGTTTATTGTATAAGCAGCTTATAGACTTACATTACATTTCTTTGACACCAAGTATTTAACACATAAGTCTGTCCTCCACCTCTCCATCCACAGTTCAGAAAACAGACTCAGAGAAATAAAATTATTTTTCTTAGCTTGATCCACTATGCATGTGGCAGACAAGAGATGGTGAATTTTTCATGTATTCCATGTTTTCAACACAAATCCTATTAAATATTTATACTTAATAGTTATATCTGAGTTGATATTTTGACTATTGAAAGACAAAATTGTTTTCCTACTAACTGAAAAGTTTAAAATATAGTAATGAAATCTTCCTTCTTATAATCTTCAAAAGTCCTAAACTGTCGTCATAGATTCTTACAAAGTTTTTCAAAATCTGAGCTAAGGAAAGACAAGTGGTGGATTGAGTTCAATCTCTTTAAAATACACATTTACAGTTCACTTTCTAAAGTAAGGTTAAAATGTCTAGGAATAATACTTTAATAAACTCCTGCTGACTCTCTCTCTATATATTTAATTGTGGCTGGTTTATATATACAATTATTTTTGTAATATTATCTTGGAGTAACAAAGCAAAATATAATTATCTTTTAATGATTTATTGATCACTGTCCCAAGAAAACAATACTTTGCATAAGGAAAAAATTATAAATATAACACAAAAATTCTACTCATGCACGATATATTATTTTTACCAGTTCTAGAAAACCACTGCATTTTATTGCTGTTATATTTAACTTTATTAAGCATAATAACATATTAAACACATTTTTGCCAACTTTAGCAAAATGCAGGTGATCTCTGGTTCACATCTTCTATTTACTGAATTATTTTAAGAGCTTACCTCCAATATCTGGCCGAAGCTTATTGTCATATCCTTGAAGTAAGGAGTCCAGTATGTGAGTCACATCCCCACCATGAATCTTTGGTGCCAGGACCCATGTTTTATTCACTGTTAGATCTTCGTCATCCTCATCATCTGCTTTATCAGCTCTAATGGTGAGTGAATTTAAAAAAAAAAAAAAAAAAAAAGGAGGAGAGAGAAGAAGAAGAAAAAAGGTTAGAAAGAAAGAAAGAAACAGTGAAACAAAATACACAAGGTGAAGAAGAAAATGGTAAAATCCTGAATATAATTTAAAGTAATTCATAATGCATTTTGCTGCCAACAGAAAGAGAAGTACCTTGTTTGAAACATCAACATTTTATTTTATAGCAGAGAAATTTTAAGCTAATAAATATGTCAAGAGAAACATTAACACATTACATACACAGAAAAACTCAAATCACGAGTAAAACTCATAAAAATACCAGTAGGCATCCTCTGTCAACCTTTTCCTGTTTTAAAACGCAAAATGGAATTCCTAAGTTTTTTTTGCTGTACATACTCCATTTTCAATTCGTGGTATTAATGTTTCTAGTAGATGTTTAGTCATCGTAATAGGCACATATTGGTGTCAAAAGCATTAGCAGAATTTCCTTCTTAGTAGCAGTCTTATTCTATCTATAACAATAAGACCTCAAATGCACTCACTCAACTCCATTCAAATTTTAAGAAAACAAACAAATATTGTGTCCATATGCTATGAAACATTCACAGTTAGAAGCTGCAGTCATGTGTCAAAAATATATCTGCACGTATATGTGCTATATTTAAAATTCTGTACCATTCCTTCCAGTTAGGATTATCTGTTAGCCATCTATTTTATCAAGATGGAACAAATGAACAAGAAAAACACTTGTATATTCATGCATCGCCTATCTTTTAATTAGATAAGCAGCAATATATATTTTATCGCTAAGTCATTAGTAAAAAAATGGCAGTACATTGGCTATGTCTGCAGATTCACTCAGATATCATCAAAAGGTCAAAGAGTGCCTGGAAGTAGTTTTCTTTCCATTTGCATGTGGACTTAAGTATTCCTCCAGTGCTAAAGTTTGCAATCTACTATTACTCATCCAGCATATTTCAGGGAACTGCTATGGGCTTCAAATCAAGCAAAGTACATCAGACTGATAGCAGTAACTCTGAGAGTCACACAATCTTCACAAATGGACACTGGATAGCAATTATTACTGAGGGTATGCAATTCATATAAATCAGTTCTAATGTTACCATAAGCATAGGTATTCCCGTAAAGGAAAGGAATCAAAGAATTGCCCTTGTAACAATTTGTATTGTACACCAAAACTAAAAATGTATTTCTACATTATTAGAAAAGGATTTTATAGAGCTTCTAAATTACAAGCATACTGCACTCAACGCTAAGGGTGGAATTTTTCAGTAAATTTCCTATAGGAATGAAGACCACAAGGATGTTCCACAACACTATGTTTACTTCATAGAGAAAGTACAGAAAAAGTCAGGAAAGGACAGAGATGGAATAGGCATGCCTGGTTGTTATTGTAGTCCTTCATGGGAATGCACCAAAACATTCTGTATCCAAAAGACCTTGCACCACCTCTCACATAATGCTATTAAGTCTCGCTGAAACTCAAGACTATCACCACTGTAGTAATTGCTAAGTAGTTTCAGGACGTCTGCTTAGTCAGGCAAGTGCAAGAGGGAGCTGGCCACAATTCAGTAAGTTTCCAGAAGGTGAACAAAAGGCACTGATTGGATATCAGGATTTTCATACCTAGCTTGCTGCAAACAAGTCACAAGAGTCTATTATAGCTGGAAGTAATAAGAAATCTAAATACAAGGTTCACCATCAGCTTCCCCTCTAACAACCTGAAAAGTGCTTTCATTCTCTTAAATTGAAATGTACCTTTTACTGCACTACATAGACATTATAGAAATGTCAGCTATTAAATATTTAACATTCCCCATTAGCAGGATACCACTAATGGGAGTACTAAAAGAAGTAGGAAGTGAAGTTTTGTAAATGTACACTCCTTTTCCCTCAAAGCTACCTATTGCCATCTCTTTCATGTTTCATTACCACACTATTTTATTTATTTATTTATTTATTTATTTATTTTTGGCCTGGTTGTACTTTATGTCATCTAATTACTACATAAATTATCTTATGGTTCATCAGAGTGCAGAGGCAATCCCAGCCTTTCCCTGAGGCATTAAGATGACGAGGAGTAAAACTTAACTTATGAGCAGCTCTCTAAGGAAGGAAATGTTCACTACAAAACTGACCATTGTGTCTTATTCTTTTTGTTCCCCATTCCTTAAACAACAGAAAGTACAAGGAAACTACCAGAGCTCCATAGTTGACACAGAGTGATGAGGACACAGTTTTGTCTCCCTTTAATGTTCTTTTTTTCATCATCATTATTAAAAGTAGACTAGATTTAGCCAAAATGAATGGTACAAGACATCATGCCAAATGCCCATGCTGACCTAAATGCAAAAAGAGTTACAACCATGATACCTCCATGCTACAGCCACTCAAATACCCTGCCATTTTGAAGCGTTCGTTTTATTTATGGATTTACAAGACAACTCATATGGGAAGGGACCACATGAAGTCTCTAGTCCAGCCTAAAGGCATGGCCAGCTCTGAGGTCAAACCAGGTTGATCAGGGCTTGATTCAGCCAGGTATTGGAGACATCCAAGGAGAAAAAACATGCACTACCTCTCCAACCAATCCACTCTCCGCTTCTCCTTTTTCTATCATGTAATATCTTTAAATATATTTGAAATTAATAAGAATAAAATAAATATATAAGTACATATCAGATTTGTACTTCCTGTTTTGCTCAATGGAAAATCTCTGGACATCTACTTTTAAACTTTGAAATATAAAGTACTATGAAGATGTGGACACTGATAAGTTTCTGAAAGCTATTAATAATACAATAGCAGGGTGAGATGGAAAAATTCCATCCCAACATCCAACAGCTTTTCCAGACACTACTAAATAAATCCTTTTAAGGTAGTTCTTTTATCAGGAACTGTTTCTTTTCTTCCATACCAGTATGCTATCTCAAGACCTTGTGACTTGTTCATCCATTAGCTAAACAAGCAAAGGAACCAGTGCAGATTAGAAATAAATATATCCAAATGTGGAGGAAAAGGCACTATTGCTATTCGTAATTTGAGAGGAGACATTCTCACTCTCTCCAATCCTATCTAACTAGCCTTTACAGAGATGACTGACTGTGACATCTTGCTACCAGAACACCATCCTTTTAATTTTTGTTTAGAATGTGCCCAAGACCACTTTGAGCAAGCAATGAAGACTATAATCTCTCTGCAATGGTAATGGCAGACATTTCTGCACTTTTGATTCGAAAGCCATAGCAATTGACTTGCAAGTCACACAAGAGAGATAAGAGAGGAATGGTGTTGACTGGAAAAAGGAAGTGAGCAGAATACATAGAATATCTTCTGTATGCGTTCCAGTGAAAGGGAGCACACAACACCTGCCAGCTGGAGTAATCCATTCAGAGATTTGGGGAAAGTCGCATAAAGCAGATAATTCCCCACACAGAGCAAATAGACACATGAAGGGCAAACAATGGATATACACTCATTTCTAGGAATCAGAATTACTAATTCTTGTCATGCTACACTGGTTTGACCCACTCTGTTTCAAAGGTAGAAAACCCTTCAGAATTACAGTCAGCAGGATTTGTTGAGATGTTACCAGGATCTAAACGAGGCTGGTAGACTACATTATTTAAAGAAATATTCACATAGGAGAACAAGTTGGTCCAAAACTGTTTATCTTTGGCCTAATTACAGAATCAAAGAATTGTCTAGGTTGGAAGAGACCTCAAGATCATCAAGTCTAACCTCTGACCTAACACTAACAAGTCCTCCACTAAACCATATTGCTAAGTTCAACATCTAAACGTCTTTTAAAGACCTCCAGGGATGGTGACTCCACCACTGTCCTGGGTAGCCCATTCAAATGTCTAACAACCCTCACAGTAAAGAAGTTCTTCCTAATATCCAACCTAAAACACCCCTGGCGCAACTTTAGCCCATTCCCCCTCATCCTGTCACCAGGCACGTAGGAGAATAGACCAACCCCCACCTCTCTACAGCCTCCTTTAATGTTCTTATAAAGAGCGATAAGGCCACCCCTGAGCCTCCTTTTCTCCAGGCTGAACAAACCCAGCTCCCTCAGCCACTCCTCGTAGGACTTGTTCTACAGACCCCTCACCAGCTTCATCGCCCTTCTCTGGACTCGCTCGAGCACCTCCATGTCCTTCTTGTAGCGTGTGGCCCAAAACTGAACACAGTACTCGATGTGCAGCCTCACTAGAGCCAAGGACAGGGGGATAATCACTTCCCTAGACGTGCTGGCCACATTGCTTTTTATACAAGCCAGGATGCCATTGGCCTTCTTGGCCACCTGAGCACACTGCTGGCTCATCTTCAGCCGACTATCCACCAATACTCCCAGGTCCTTCTCCACCAGGCAGTTTTCCAACCACTCATCTCCCAGCCTGTAGCTCCGCTTGGGGTTATTGTGCCCCAGGTGCAGGACCCAGCACTTGGCCTTGTTGAGCTTCATACAGTTGACCTCAGCCCATCGGTCCAGCCTATCCAGATCCTCCTGCAGAGCCTTCCTACCCTCAAGCAGATCGACACATGCAACCAACTTTATGTCATCTGCAAACTTAATGAGGGTGCACTCAATCCCCTCATCCAGATCATCGATAAAGATATTAAAGAGGACAGGCCCCAGTACTGAGCCCTGGGGAACACCACTGGTGACCTGCCTCCAACTGGATTTGACTCCATTCACCACGACTCTTTGGGCCTGGCTATCCAGCCAGTTTTTAACCCAAAGAAGCGTACGCCAGTCCAAGCCACAAGCAGACAGTTTCTTGAGGAGAATGCTGTGGGAAACAGTGTCAAAAACCTTGCTGAAGTCAAGGTTGACCACATCCACAGCCTTTCCCTCATCCACCCAGCACGTCACTTTGTCATAGAAGGAGATCAGGTTCGTCAAGCAGGACCTGCCTTTCATAAACCCATGCTGACTGGGCCTGATCACGTGGTTGCCCTGTAAGTGCCACGTGATGA